GAACATTAGTTTTGCCCTTTGACAGTTCATTCATTCATTCAACAAGCATTTGTCATTTTCCTACATATTTGTCAGCCCAGATTCCAGCTTGAACAAAAACACAGGCCCTGCATTTATAGATCCTGCATTCTGGTCGAGGAAATAGACTCTCAAGAAATGTATAAATCAATTCATCCCCAAAGACAATGATGTGGGTTCTGAATAACGTGGATCAGGCTAAGGGGAGAGTGTATTTGTGGTGCACCTTTAGGGATTGCAGGTGAAGGGAGGGTGAGCTTCTCACACTGAGAACCAGCAGGGCAAAGGCTGGGGGCCAGGAGCTGGAGGGCCTTGCTCTCCTCCCAGAAGGTCTGCTAAGGTTGCTTGAAGCATATCGCCTGTAGCAGGAGGCAGAGGAAGCCCAGAGGCCAAGAAAGCGCTCCTGAGGGCATCCAGGAGTCCTGGGGCTTGGACCTGGGTAGAGAGCAGAGTGGTGAAGGACACAGGAATTGCAGGGCTTGCTGATGGTCAGTAGGATCCTGGGACAGGAAGTAGAGGACTGAGCCACTGTGTCTCTGAGGGTGCCCTTCATGGGCGGGGGAAGGCTGGGGTGGTAAGCAGCCTTGGGGAGCATGGGTATAATTCAGGAAACCAAGGTGGTTTATTGGTGGAACGCGGCATCAACAGCATCTAAATTCAGCCCTCAGAAACAGCACAACCAGGTCATGGCCACCAACCCAACCCAGCACCCAACTGGGTTTTGCATGATGTGAACTGTAGTAATGTCTTTTCTCTTTTTGAGCAGACCCCAGGACCTTGGTCTGGCTGGGGAGGAGAGTTTAATATAGGACATACCCTTCTTCCCCCTGCACTGTACACAGTAGGTGTTCCAATGTTCACACCATCCAAAAATAGAAACCAGTGAGGGACTGTTTGTGGGGACTGTCACTGTTCACTCTTATTCCTTTACTTGTTCACTCTCCTATCTCATGTGGGCTGGGTGGAAAACAAAGTCTGACCTGCTTCATTCTGTATCCCCAGCCCCTTATCCAATGAATAATTACCACCAATCCTACATAATTAACCCATTTTCTAATGAGGAATCTGAGATTTATGCATTCTGTCTTTTATTCATTTTGTCTAATAGTGATGGTGAGGATGCCAGTAACAATTAGCATTTATTAGGTACTTGCTAATTAAGAAGTAATTCTGTTAACCATCTCTGAACACGTGCTCTTCTTCTATCCAGTTTTCAGACAAGAAAACTGATGTCAAAGGGGGTGAAGTGACACATTCAAGATCACCCAGAGAGGAAGGGGTAGAGCTGGGATTCCACCCAGGCTACTGGCCTCAAAGTCCATATTGATGATCACTCACTAGCCTCACTGTGTTCCTGTATGTGCTCAGTGTATCTGGTTTCTACACTAGATGATGTCTCAGTAACTTATTTAGACTTCATTTTTGTAATAGCTGCTTAATGTTTCAGAAAGGTCCCCAGCCCCTCATGCTGCTCTGGTACCCCTCCCTAAACTCAGCCTGTGTAGAATTTAATCTTCCCTGAAGGGACATGGGCACAGCTACCCAAGGACAGATACAGAATGTCAGAGACTGGCCTGTGAGAACAAATTTAGGACAATTGCTCAAATGCCCACAGTTGGCCCTTATCCGACTTCCCATGCAATACTGGTGGATGCCCAACTCCTCTCATTGTTATGGTTAAGACCCACAAAATAGATTTCATTCTTCCGTTAGGGTTCAAGGTTGGCAAAGGGCACCTTCCTATGCCTTGTGACTTACTGTGCCTTAACTGTATTTGCTGCATCAGCACCATCATCACCACCACCATTGTCCTATCACTGCCATCATCATAATCACACCACTACCACCAACACCATCATCATCACCATCACCACCATAACCATAGCCACCTCCATTGTCATATCATCGACATGATCATAGTCACACCACCATCCTCTCCACCAACACCACTGTCACCATTGTCATAATCTCACCAACATCATCTCCCCCAGCTTCACTGTCATCAACACCATCACCATGATGGGCCTGGGTAGGGAGCAGAGGAGTGCTCTGCCCATCGCCCTCATCATCACCATCATTGTCATCAGCAGTAGCAGCAGTAGTGTCATCACTACCACCACCACCCCTCCTCCTTCTCCTCCTCACCACCACCATCTCACACTTGCAAAACCCTACCCTGTGACAGACACCGTTTAGAAGGCTAGGTGATGACTCATTTCACCCTCACCACAATCCTGTGGCACTACTGCTGTCATTAAGCCCATTTAAGATCATATAATTGATTCAGAATTTAGCTCAGTGGCCCAAGGTCACAGAGCTGGAAATCACAGAGCTGGGGTTCACACCCACGTACTCTGGCTGAACAATCCTCAGATCTTACAGTGTGCACCCACTCCCTAGGGAGTGTGCTAAAACACTGATTCTGACTCATAGATGGGGTAGGGCCCTTGAGCACTTTGCTGCTGTAGTCAGTGATCATTCCTGGAGTAATGGCCTCCTAACCCATTGCCCTGTTCTTCTACTTATACATCATAATATTCTCCAAACTACCATTATCTGAACATCTTACCCAAGGCCTTCCCTGCTTCTCAGGAGGAAGCAGTTGTGAGCACTCAGGGTTTGCTCCATCCTTCCAGAACACGAACAGGGTGTTTCATGCAGATAGTTAACACTGGCTATTTAAGGTGTGCCTCTCAGTGAACCCCATATTTGGAGAGAGTGGGCAGTAGCTGGCCTTAGTCAAGGTGGTGGCTCCTTTGTCACCTAGGGTTCTCGAGCGAGTCGATGAGCACACCTTTTAAGCCAATGGGATTTCAGACTTGCTCGTTACTGTACCACGGTGTAACCCATCCTCACAGAAACGCCCAAGCATCCACATTTATTGCTTCCTACAAAATACCCTGCATCCAGAAAAGCAAGGCTGGATAAATTCTCTGTGATCCCTTTGAAGAAGTGGTGTCTGACCACAGGCTTCTGGGGAGTGAGATCCACAGTGAAAACATGGGAGAGCTAATAGAGATGGGTCTCTGTGGCAGAAAAGATAGATAGCCACAAGGCAGTGTCTAAATTGGAGTAGGAACAGTTACTCCCAGTTGGTCCTCATGACCACCAGCCAAAGAAACAGTCCTCTGAGACTAACTCCCACATCTTCATCTTGAGCTGCAGGAGGTTCAGCCATCCTACAAAGCTGGCCCTCTCCACCCCAGGCCTTTGGTTTCATTTTTTTCTTAATTTTACAGTCATTGCTCATAAGACCTAAATTTTGAATATTTAATAGGAAATAATTCAATTCAAACTCACCCACCACTAAGACGCAACATAGCACTGTTACAATGTAATTTGTCTATGTTGCTCTGGCCAACCGTGAGCAGCATCTGAAACCACTGGAGTCACTTAGGATTCATCAGAGATCTTGCAGATTCCCAGAGGAGGGGACACTTGCAACTTACCAAGGACTAGCTGTGGTCAACCACCTTTCTCAGGTGCCGAGAAGTCAGGTGACTACAGGAGCTTCACAGTCAGGTGCACATTGCTTTTAACTCTCCTCAAAACTCTTCCATAGTCTGTTAAAATATATTGAGCTTCAAATGGAAACTCCTGGACACCTTGTTCTTCTGATGCCTGGAGTTGTCTCCTCTACTTACCAAGCCATGGATCAGCAGGTGACCTGGGTTGGGCCAAAACCCACAACCCTGGGGCTTGGAATTTGTTTTTAAGTTGAGATATAATTTGCATACCCACCAAATTCACCCTTTCTAAGTTGTTGACTCTGTGGTTATAGGTTGATTCTCAAAGCTGTGTGCACCCTCCCTAGCCTGATTTCAGAACACTCCTAATGTTCCCGAGGAAACCCAGGGACATTCACCCCCAGTCACTCCTCCCTTCTCCCCAGTGCCCCAGCCCCTGATGGGGACTAATTTGCTTTGCATCTGTAAAGACTGGCCTCTTCTGGATTTTCACATGAAAAGAATCATCTGTCATGTGACCCTCCTGCCCCACTTCTTTCTCTTCATGGCTGAGCAGCTCCCTGCTACAGGTGACCATGTCTTGTTGATCCACCAGTTGATGGACAGTAGGGCCATTTTTGGCTGCTATGAGGGACTTTGACTCCTGAGTGAGTGACTTGCAGCCAGGAGGTCACTTCGTGGTCATTTTTGGCACAGTGATAGATGGCAGAGGAGGCTAGGTGGTCTCCCTAGTAACAACCTGGAGGGAATCTTCCTCATTTCCTGTTTCCTCCTCCCTCACCTTAGGGAGCTTCCTTGGCCCCTGTTACCCTCAGCCCTGGTCTCCCAGCCTTCGGCCCCTTGATGGAGTCCCCACCTCTGAGAAGCACACCTACTATACCCCTTGGGGTCCTATGCGTGCAGCAGGTTAGATCTCTGAGTATGTGAACCAGGCCATGTGCAGGTTCATCTTATGAGTATTTCCTTTCCTGTGGGCTCTCAAAATGTGTCCCCTGAGGGTGTGGGAAGACTCACTGCGGAATCCAGCTTGGGTGGCCTCTCTGTGCCAAGGCCCGGGCACCCGCAGGTGTCTCCCACCCTGTGGTCTCCAAACAGACAAGGGCCAGGAGGAGAGGAAAAGAGCTGGCACAGCTCTGGAGGTTTGGGGATGAGAAGAGGAAACTACACCTACACCTCCTGGCCATGGTGGGGATTCTGCCTGACACTGGAACGGGGGTGGGGTGTGTGAGGGGGTCACCCCTCACTGTCACATCTAACTCCTGGGCTAGATGTTACTTGCCCCAAAGCTGTGGAGATGGCTATTTCCCACAATTGTCTTTAAGATAACACTGAAAAAGAGAGGAAAGTGCATTCACAGGTGATGAATGATGTCCAAGTCTAAGTCCTCCCGCTGAGGTGCTCTTCAAAACTAAGCTGTTCTACCCTAACAGACACGAGACATAACAGGGTGGTTCTGCAAACATCACCCTGCGCTAGGTGAACTCAGGCTCTCCCCTAATTAAAAGGCTCTCTCAGTTCCTTTAAGACAATTTACTTCTTCAAATACATCAATTAATTACTTTAAAATCACAGGACTTTCCTTAGCCTTCAGATGACTCAGGGGACAGACTTTATGGTTGCAGGTCTTGGAGGCTTGCTGAAGGGTTTCAGCTGGGTGAGAATTTTAACTACAGACACCAAGTCCAAAACTGAGGTCTGTTTCCAGAAGGAACAACCTGAGCTAGTGCTTGGGAGGTCGGGAGGTCGGGAGAATGCTGGGAGCTCAGGAGGGTCATTTCACATTTAACACTAAGAACATCAAGCACAGCTAACGTGGGGCCAGGAACTTCCTGCAGACTGGACCTGATCCATGCCACCGAGAATAAAAATGGACACACAAAAGGACACAATGCCCATCCTGGGTCTTCCAGATGGCATTCCAGAGGCTAAAGTTCCTTCCCCTGTCATATTATATGAGGACCCTTTTTCCTACACAGTGATAAGCCCTCGAGGGCAGAGGCGGGGACCCTGCCTGCCTGGTTGACCACCCCATTCCCTGCACATGACCTGGTTCACATACTCAGCATATATTTGCTGGATAAAGTGTTAGAGAAGCAGAGACTCCAATCTAGAGAGGCCCCCTGGGCTTGGTGACTGTTTCCAGTAGAACAGGTGTCAGACAGTAGGGAGAGGAGGGGACAGTGGCACATGGGCATGCACCAGCCCAGTTAGTAGGACAACTTGGGCCAACTGTTCTCGGGGTGAAGGGCAGGACAGATGAATTGACTCTTATGTAAAACAGACCATGCATAGATGTGGGCTACTAATTCCTGTAAGATATGAAACAAGCTTTAAAATCATCTGTGGGCCTGTGGGTTTCCTGGCTCCTACGTTGTGGTCTTTGTCCTAAACCCATGGAACCTAGGGGAGATATTCTTCCACAGAATTCCTCCTGGGAAACTTGCTACAAGTCTTCTTTCTTAGCTTTGGGTCCTTGTTAATGTGGAAGGACATACAGCCCAGAGACTCCCTGACACCATAAAGGGCCAAACTCAAGGACTCTCAGAAGCTCTTCTCTGTGGCTGACAAGCATCCTGTGATGGGACTTGCCCTGGTTTGGGCTCTGAACGGAAGCAAGGCGGCCTGAGATGCCACCATAAATGAAAAGCAAGCAAAAGGACACTTTGGAACCAGGGGAGAACAGGAGCAGGGCAACTGGGGTGTTGGAGCAGATGCGAAGTTGCTGCTGTCAGCAGAGCTGTCCTCTCTGCAGGGCTGGGCTGCACCGGGCGGGCGCTCAGCAGCTGCTGGATGATGGCAGGGCTGATGTGGATAGAAGTCTTTCCTGGGAGCACAACGCTCAAGTATCCTGAAGAAAAGGATCCCTCTTCATTAGTGTCACCTATGGATAAGACACTGACATCCTTAGGTGAGAAACCCAAACTCCGCCCAAAGATACCGGGTGACCCCAGTCAGCTGGGAGCTGTGCTATTTTGGGGACTCCTACAACAAGCTTCCACAAATCAAGTGGCTTGAAACAGAACACACCCCCTCACAGCTCTGGAGCCAGGGATCCTGGAGGGCTGAGCTCCTTCCAAAGTCTCAAGAGGGGCCTGTCCTGCCCCTTCTAGCTCCTGGAGGCCCCCATGTGCCTGGCCTGTGACTGCATGCTTCCACCTCGGTATCTGTCTTCACACAGCCTGTCCCCAGATCTCTGTGCCTTTTAGTTACTCACAGGGACACTCGCTGGCTGAAGGGCCCCTCCTAACCCAGGACACCTCATCTCCATTCCTCCCTGAATCGCACTTGCAAAAAAGACCGTCTTTCCATATAAAGCCACACTTTGAAGTTCTGGTGGACACACCCTTTGGAGACCACCATTCAACCCACCACAGGATCCAGAGGCAGGACTGGGGCAGGCATTAGAGAGGATGCTCTGTCCCCTTTCTCCTCTCAGCAGACAAGAAATGCACAGTGGCCAGGTACTCCAGAGGCAGTTATGCAAAGGGACACTTACACAGGTGGGGTCAGGGTTTAAGAAAATAAATAAACAGTGCGGAGGACAAGGGGAGCTCTTGGAACAGGGACAAGTGGTCACTAGGACAGAGCCATCAGGAAGGGGTTGTGGCCTTCATTGGGCAAATGCTGTCACAAGGCAGAAAGCCCAGCCTACCCTCTTCTCACACCCTGTTCCCACTGGTGACTCTGGTTAGCCAAACCCAGGTGGAGCAAAGAGAGCAGAAGACCCCTGCCCTGCCTTCCTCATGGGCACCAAATGAAAGATGGATAAAGGAGCCGGACAGGGTGAGGAAAGGCCATCTGCTTTCTCATGAGATAAGTTGGAACAAAGGGCATGGCCCTATCTGTGGGCAAATTAGGGGCTCTCATGCCCTCTGGAAGAAACCCCTGCCCAGATCACAGCTCTCCTTACAGGGCTCAGAGTAGAGCAGAGGGGAGGCAGGAGGTGGGATGGGGGGTGCTCTGAATGGCAATTGCACCTACCAGATAGATTCCTCCTCCCCAGGCAGGAGGCAGGGAGGTCAGGAGGCAGCTGCCTGCCCTGTCCACTGGCTGTGTGACCTGAGAAGGAAGCCCCCATCCTCATGCAGGAACAGGACCTGGGAAGAGTGAGCAGCCTCCCTGTTGAGGGAAAAGCAGAGGATCACATGCAAGGATGGGCAAACAGCACTCCTGGGCAAAATGCAGCCCTTGGCCTGACTCTGTAAATAAAGTTTTATTGGCACACAGCCATGCCCATTGGTCTGTGCTTTGCTGGTGCAGTTTTCCTGTAATGGCAGAGTTCAGCAGTTATCACAGACAGTCATGACAGAGCAAAGCTGAACACACTCCCCGGCTCTTTACAACCCCTGGGGTGTAGCATTTGAAATGTCCTTTCAGTTGTCTCCCCAATGTCTATAATTTTTTTGGTCAAGTCTGGTTGGTGTACGGGTGTGGGGGCAGGACAGGGACTTGGCTCCAGGCAGTCACTCAGGGACTCAGGTTGATGTAGCCTCTGCCATTTGCACATGTAGACCCAAGCTCACCTGGGCATTGGCACCAGACACTAACTGAGTGGGGTGAGAGTCAGGGGTGAGTGGTCTGAAGAACATCTCACTTCCACCTGTGCACTGCTGGGTACACGGCAACCCCAGGCTGCTCTCAGGGAGGGGGAAACAGGTTAATAGAAAAAGAAAGAGAAGGGGTGTGAGGGACAGCTCTCCAAGAGGACAAGACTTTGCAGGAGGCTTGGCTTTTACACAGAAGGCAAAAGGACGAGTTGTAGGTGCCACCATAGAGAAATGATGACCTTAGCCACTACTTGCCCACACCTGCTTAGCTGCTGGGCCTGTGAGAGCAGACTTTCGGTGAAGGATGCAAATCTCACCCATGGGCTCACAGCCCGATGGCCCAGCAGCCGGGCAGCTGGAGGACAAAGGGCCTCCTTTGAGTGTTTGCTGCTGCTGAATCCATTTCTTGGCTGGGGCTGTGGGTCCTGGATCTTCTCCTTCCCTGGAGCTATGCTGGGTCAGCCTCCTGGCCCTTGTGGACTGACCACAGCAGAGGGGGTCATCTTCAAGGAAAATGGCAGAGGGACAAAACCAGCAGGTGTCCGCCACGTCCTGAGAGGCAAGAGTCATCTCCAACAGCGCATTTCCCATCCCAGCGTCAGCTTCTCAGAAGTGAGTTGGGGACCCTGAGAGACACCAGGCAACCCCTGGAGCAGGACAGCTGGGTCACAGCCTCCGAGCCTCTGCTGAGAGCAGCTCTGTCCTCTTAGTACCCGCCGTTAAGCAGATATGAGGAGGGCGGGTTGTGTCCGCACTAACAGCCGGGAATAAATAGATTTTCTATGATTATTGTTAAACTTTCCTCTCACCATGTGCAATCTGGAGCTGCTGTGTACAGAAGCACAGCTGCAGGACATCCAGAAGGACTGTAATCAGCTAACAAGGAGTGATTTTCGCCTCCCTCCTCCTTGTAGCCGCCTTTTCTTTCCCTAACCAATCCTCATCTCTCCTTATGATAAAACAAGAATATCCAGAATTGTTCAGAGTGGGGGAAAAGGGAGACCAGTGGGGGCTGAGGGCCACCATGGCCACTGACTGACCTTGGAAAAGGTGAGCAGGTTCCATTCAACTCTCGCCCTCAGTAATCGCCTCTGGAATGGAGGAGGTGAGAATTCTGCCCTCAACCCTATGCAGAGGATTTACGGACTCTCGGAGAGTCCCTGAGTGGTCATTAGACCATGGCCACCACTGGGTGGAGGGAGGAGTGGAGAGGAAAGAACAGGAGGAGGAGGTCCAGCAGGAAGGTGTAGTGGCTAGGTACTTGGCCGCTGATCCCCTTCCCAGCTTCCCAGTGATTCGCATTTGGAAACATAAAGGTGTTTCATTCCTAGTTCAGTAAGCAAGAAATGTGACTTTTGATAGATTCCCTTGATCCCATTGGGAAGCACCTAAGTCTGGTGATCTAGGGGCCCACCCACTGTGCCCTGAGGGTCTGTGCCCCCTGAATCCACCTGTGGAGGCCCAGCTCCCTGCGTGAGGACATGTGGAGGTAAGGCCTTCATGGGGTGATGGGGTCACATGGACAGAGTACTCATGATGAAATTAGTGTCCTTTTAAAAGGGGCCCCATGGAGCTCCCTTGCCCTTCCACCAATGAGGACACAGTGAGAGGGCGGGCCTGTGAACTGGGAATTAGGGCCTCTCTGGTCCCCAAATCTGGAGGTGCCACTACTTTGGACTTCTAGCCCCTAGAACCCCAGAACTTTGTCGAAGCAGCTCAGACAGAGACACCACTCCATCCCTGGCATCTGGCCTGTGTTTCAAGGAGTCCAGGGAGCAACAAGAACGATGTTGCATCACCCAGAGACCCAGGCCATGGGTTCCTCAGCCACCCTGCCTGGGAACAAGGCCTAGTCTGCTGCCTGGACTTTGCAAGCAACTGGGTTTCCCTGAGCCTGTGTCCCCCGCTGTGAAGTGGAGACAATGAGAGCCTCTGAGGCCTGATGGGGTCCCCCAGAGCCCCTGATGCACACTGCAGGGAGCACTTCGGACAGATGCCTGGTGCCTCAGAAGGCAGGACAGGGCAAAGTCACACACTCCCACGCATGGAGAGCACTGCTGGATTCTGCTCCTTCCTGAGGCCTGCAACTGGGGAATGGCTGACCCACAAGCCAGTTCCGACTGCCACTCCTTGACACCTGGGTCTACATCAACCCAGTGCAAGGAGCCCTTCTTTCCATAGTTGCTGGTGCCACTAATGAATTACTCTTGTTTGGGGACATCTGCACTCCCCTCCCAGCCTCCCCTTTACTGGGTGTCACTGAGCCTCAAGTTCCCTGGATGAGACTCACTCTTTGGGGTTAAGTGCATTATCTAAAGGGGCTCATGCAGACAGACTTGTTCAGAGGTAAAGAGGGAAGACCCCTGGACCGGACACCCCTGACTAGCCACTCTCCAGCTCCGTTCCACATCACCCCGCCAACCTGGCCTTCTCCCTACTTCTGGACCTGAAGTCCTCCCTCTTGGGGCTCCAGGGAGAATTCAGCTCCCCACCTGCAGCTTCCCCGGGCTGGGGCAGTGGCTGGGAGAGGCTGGACACCTGTGTCTCTAGGAGGACCATCACTCTCCTTCTGCCCTAAAGCCTCGCTGTCTGCCTCACACTTACCTCACGCACCTGGTTTTATGGTCATTCCAACACTGGATCTCTGAAGTCTCCATTTCTGTGGCCACTAGAATTGGTCTCTCTCCTCCACTGGGGTGTGAAGGACTCCCCAACAGAGACCTGCCCTGCTCTGTACCCCAGATGTCTCTAACTGGCTGGCCTGTAGCAGGTGCACAGTGAGGGACCCAGGATGGGAGAAAGACCTATCGTCTGAGTCAAAAGAGGCTGCCACTCTGTTTAGAACCTGAGGTTTCTTGGGTTTATTTTGATCATGGTAAATTACACATGATGTAGAATTTCCTGATTTAACCATTTTAAAGTGAGCAACTCAAAGGCATAAAGGACACGGTCAGTGTGGTGTGACCGTGACCACTGCCTGGTTCCAGAGCTTCCTCCTTACTCAAGGTGAGATGCAGGATGCACTGCCCCTCCTACATGGCTGCAGATAGGACATGCTGCCACATAGGCAGGTCTTTGCTTATTTTGAGATAATTCTTTTGAGAAACTAAAGACATAGGAGTAACTCTGAGAATTTTACCTTTTGGTAAAGAAAAAAATTATGTCTAGGAAGGAAATCTACATTAGCCCAAATACCTGTGTCGGGCAGGGGCTTCCCTGAGAAAGCTTGTCACCTGAGAGGTCTTAGCTGTACAACAGGGCAAACTGTATTCACCATACACTTCTCTCACCCTCGAGAACTTGTCTCCACCCCCTTCAGAAGCCCTGATCCCTATTCCTTTCTGTGGCTCAGGATATCATAAAGCTTCAACCCTGCTTTATGTCAATTTAATTCATTGCCCACCAAAAACATAGGTGGGTGATGGGAAGCCCCTTCACCCTCCCCTACTCACCCCAAAGAAACCCAGTACGTGCAAGCTGTCATGCAGTTTTGCCATGACATTGTTCATATACTGACATTGTTCAATAAAAGTCTACAATGTGTGTCAAGCCCTGCTGTGATCTGTCCATCCTGAGATGGCCACTCCCTTACCCCGCCCTGCACCAGAGCTCCTTCAAGGCCACTGTACATTTAACCAGTCTCACATGTTTGAACATCTGCATCAGGAACTAGGCTAACGTCCTACTTGGATATTAGAGATGCCGTGCTCTATACTTAAAATGAAGCTACGAGGCACTTCATGTTGACCACTATCAGCTTAAGACTTCAAACTTGGAGTGGGAAAGCCAGAGTCTCTGGGTGCCCATCATAGCTGCAGCCTGGTGATCAAGATTCCCCCCTAAGCAGAGGTTTCAGAAGCGTTGGGGCAGCTGGTGGGCTTGGGAAGGTCAGGTGCACATCTGGCAAGTGTAGGTGGTCCTATCGGGAAGTGCAAAGGCAGGTTAGGTGAATGCCAGCCAGCCAGGGGCTCCTTATACCCGGTGCTTGTCTCTAGCACCGGAAGTCTGCAGGTAGCAAGTGCAAGCAGAGAGGGCGGGTGCAGAGGGAGGCCTCTGGAGCAGGGCTTTCCACCTGGTTCTGAGGAGGCTCCATGGAGTGGCTTTAGGCAAGTCACTGAGGTGCTGTGCGACTCAACTCCTGTTATTATTTGAAGCAGACTGCCACGCTCCTGGTGTCTTAAACCAACAAGACTTAATTATCTTTTGGTTCTGGAGGTCAGGAGTTCTTTCACATAAGGACAAAAGCTGTACAAGCTCAGGGCTCTCACAAGCTTCCTTTGAAGGGCAGAGGCTGGACCTACAAAGGCATTGCCACCAAACCAAAATGGGTCCTGAGGCAGGAGGATCTCAAGTTCAAAGCTAGCCTCAGAAATTTACTGAGGCACTAGGCAACTTAGTGACACCCTGTCTCAAAGTAAAAAATAAAAGGTGCTACCGATGGGGCTCAGTGGTGAAGTCCTCCTCGGTTCAATCCCAGGTACAACAAAAAAAAAATATCTTTATAGTCCCAGAATCAGCTTTTCCACCATCCACAGACAGAGCCATGGACCCTGTGTCACAGCTGACACAGTC